CACTCACACACATAAAAAGAAAGACAAAAAAAAATGGCAGCGTATATTTTCATGTTTTAGCGGGAAATTCATTCCAATTTTGTTCATCCTATCGATGCAAGTAGCATGGCTGAAAAGCAGTGTATATTTTCATATTCTTACTCATCCTATCAATGGAAGTAGCCTCTCTTTATCTCTCTGCGTGCATGGCTGGAAAACTCTCTCTCTTTCTCTCTCTCTCTCTCTCTCTCTCTCACACACACACACACACACACACACACACACACACACACATACACACACAAAATCAGTTTTAGGTATGTTTGTTTTTCCTCTTTCTCCTATTTTTTCTAAGTGCTTTTTGTGTCTTTAGTCCAGCACCCTCTAGCAGTGCCAAACAGTCGGTGGTTCCTCTTTTGGAGTGCCAACTGCACTCTTAGGGGGGCCGCTCGGTTCGGGATGTCTGTGTTGCCTGTCGATGATGACGGATGGTCGTCGGAGTGCCCCCTGGCTCAGCGGGTGGTGGGAACCAACAGTTTGCGGGGTTCTATCATGATGTGAGTAGGTCATGTGCTTCTTTGCTCCGTGTTGGATGTGTAGACTGTCTTGTCTGCGCTCTGCCGCGGTCTTGCTGTCAGTGCCGCTTGCTTTGCAGGTCGTCTTTGCTGCTCTGCTGCCTTGCCGCCTACCCGCGGGTCGTGCCTCCCGTGTCTTTTGCTCGCGTGCCTTGTGGTTTGGTAGCCTTGTGGCGGTGCCTTGCGCTTCGCTGCACAGCTGCTGAGCTGCTTGTCCGTGTGCCCTATCGGCCTTCAGTGTCCTTTGCDTGCATGCCTTGTAGTTTGGTTGCCTTGTTGTTGGTGCCTTGTGCTTCACTGCACGGTTGCCGAGTTGCTCGTCTGCTTGCCTTGTTGGCCTTCCGCGTCCTTTACTTGCTTGCGTGCCTTGTAATCTGGCCGCCTTGCTGATGTTGCCTTGTGCTTCACCGCACGGTTGCCCAGCTGCTCGTCCGCTTGCCCTGTCGTTCCTTGCAGTCGTCTTTGGTGATAAGCAGTTGGGCTGCCTCTACTGTGTTGCCTGGTGCTCCACAGGGTTGCTGCCCGCTGCTATGTCCCGCTTGGGGACAGTCTGGCTTCAACATGGGTCTAAGGGTTCATGACCCAAACCATCAAATACGGGGATTTCGCAGATTGTCGAGGGTTCAGCCTCCTGATGAGTCGGTGCAACTCCGACGAAACAATCTTGTTATCATCAGTTTTTGTTTTTTTTGGTCTTGTTTCTTTGGGGACTTTGTTTTTTTGGTTTGCCTGTTTGGTGTCTTGGCATATAGTCTGCCCTCCCGCCTCCCCCATGCCCTCCATCCTATGTGGGACTCTAGGAAAGTTGGTCATGATAAGCTGCAGATGTACTATGAGGTAGCCTCAGAGAAGGAAAGCGGCAGCGGAGAGCGTTAGTTTGGACATGACCAGGGCCTAGTGTACCACTGTGGTGGTGGGGTGCATGGCATGGATTTGCCGTGGGATCTGATTTTCTTACACACACACACACACACACAAGTGTCGCAGTCACGCAGTGTATATTTCCATGTTCTAGGGGTAGATTTGTTCGATTTTGCTCATCCTATTGATGGAAGTACCCTCTCTCTCTCTCACAAAAAAAAAAAAAAAAAAAAAAAAAACGGAGTGGGTTGTGCAAGAGGGAAGAGGAAGTTGTGGGAGGGGCAGGAGCAGGTCGCACGATGGGGACGAAAGGTTGCAGGAGGTTGTGCGGGAAGGGGAGGAGGAGGTCGCACCGGTGGGAGGAGGAGATTGTGCTTAGGGGAGGAGTTCGTGCGAGCGGGAGGAGGGGGCCACGAGGGAGGATGAGGAGGTTGCGAGGTCGCACAAGGGGGAGGAGGTGTGTGTGTGTGTGTGAGAGAGAGAGAGAGAGAGAGAGAGAGA